AGGGAATTTTACAATTAATAAGCCGGTGATAATAAACACCTTAGAATCCAGTCTAATATAATGAGAATAGATGTAGCGTCCTTTCGTTCACAAGAGTCTAGAAGAAACAACAGAGCCGTGAGCCGGGAATCTTTATGAGACGAAATTAACGATAAATCGCTGTGGTTTTAAGTTTGTTTCGCGTGAAAGTGGATGGTGCTTTCGCGGGATTAAGTTACATCGCACGAAATGACGGTTATATTCGCAGCATATTTGCGTTGTCCCCGCGTCTATCTGCGTTTTAGATAAATTAGAAAAGCCTCTGCCGGACGTGTGGAATTTCATGTAAATTCGCGACTGCAACTCGATTCGCGGAACGTCATTTAGTCTTAGAGTAGAATAAACGATCGGACTCGCGCCCGTTTCTTCTCTCGTCTAGGACGAAGCTGTTGTTTTATTTATTTTTTTATTTTTTTTTTTTTTTTAGAGGTCGTAACGTACGTGTGCACAATGTTAACGATGATATACTCATAACTTCAGTCTTCATACGAGCGATAAACTTTAAATTTGCATCTCTTAAGTGCATCAGAGATCATTAGATTTCTATGAATAATTTTAAGTTTTCTACGACATTTCGCCGAGATTAAAACGATCTGGACTGACAAAATCGTTGGCCCTCATTAGGCGCGTATTTCAATAATTGATATGAACTTGAAATCTATACGACACATCACCTATGTCACTAGTAATTATTAATAAAATTCAAGTCCATCAAAACTTATAATAACTTAACCATTCTCACTAACTATTGCATTAATCGTTGTAAACAATTTAAATACTTATTTTTGTGCTTTATTTGCTTTAAATCTGAAAGGTATTAGTTCCATAGTTATTAAATATTACTCGATGCCCATTGTCTTCTGAAAATGAGAATTTGCAAAAATCAAAAACCTCCGATAAAAGATAGTAGTTTAGGCGTCATAACGAAGTCAATTGAAACACCACATAGAGACAAACTACTCATCCATCATATTAAATATTAATAAAGAATGAAAGGAATAAGTTATAAGTATTCTCGGCCGATATATAATTAAGCAATTCGAGATTAGGATTTAAATGCTCGTTCATTTCGTTCTATTTGTTGTGATCGTTGTTCGAACAATCGGTAAAATATTATATAACGAGCGTATGGTCGAATTGCGCCTTAACGTTTATTGCTTCGATTCGTGAATACTTGTAAGCATTTTACATAGGAAATAATAAATATATAAAACCTATTAGAAGCTACGAACAGCAAAGTATTTTTTGCTTTAAGCATTTATTTTATTGCAATGTCATAATACAAATATAAATATATATATAAATATATATATATATATATATATATATATATATATATATGTTTTTATAGATATCTTAATATTTTTACTTTCAAAATAAATGTAAAATAAATTAGTATTTTATATACAAATTTATTTATTTTATTTTTTTTCCTTAGTATATTGATCAAATAAAAGAAAAACGAACAAAAGCAAAAAGAAAAAAAAATGCAAGAATCAGATTTTCCTTATAAACCTTTTAACGATATTGTTGCTGTCAATGAAGAGTCAATGAATAAATGTAGATACAGTGAAAACCAACATACGTTACCTCCAACTCCAGCTCTAGAAAAATTAACGTTCCAACAAGATGTTATAAGAAAAAAAGATTTGATTTTATCCAATAACGAATATTCTATTTCTTCGACAATTAACGTACAGGAAATTGATTCAGCTAAGGAAGAATATACAGATAATTGTTTAAAAGACAACCGACCAATTGAGAATGAAACTACAGAATCCTCGATACATGGAGGAGAAAACGACGCAACATTTAAGAAAAGTGAAAAGTCTTTGGAATATGAAACTGTAGAGGTAAAATCCTTTCAATATGTACCACAACAAGCACAAATTCTACAAGATCATGAAAATTTACAAAATTCGCAAATTTTGGAAGATGTCAATCAGAAACCACCTAAGCGTAAAAGAGGCAGACCTCCTACCAAGCATTTATTAATGCAACAAGTGCTATCGGAAAACCATTTTGAAGTACCTAGACAGAACAACCAAAGTCATATATGCTTAAGAAAAAGAATAAAAATCGTCGAGACAGGTGGGACGAGGGCAAAGACGATGCGTTTAGAGAGAAGAGAGATGCCTCGAAGAGCTCTAAAGCATTTAAATAGATATTCAACGAAAGTTAAGTGGATTAAGAAAGATAATGTTAAGGCAGCAGAGTCTAGAAAATCAAAAAAAAAGAAAGCTGTAGGGCGTCCAAGGCAGAAAGTGAAAATTTCTCAACGTAAAGCATCCTTAAGAATGATGAAAAAAATACGTAAGAAACGAGGGATAAAAGATGTTTCACAAAATGAAAATAATTTTGGCCCATCGAGGACAAGGTCTACCATTAAAAGGCCACGACGGAAGAAGAAGATAAACATATCTGATCCTATATTTCACGAACCATTCAAATATGGCTGGAGGCGCGAAGTTGTCTACCGCGCTTATACTAATCAATCGCGAGCCGATGTTTATTATTATTCACCGGAAGGAGAAAAACTCCGAAGTTTCGTGGAAATTAAAAAGAAACGTAAATATTCATAATAAATTTATTTTATAAGTTACCAAATGAATTACAAAATTGTAGCGTAGCAAATAATATGCTAATTTCATGTATAAACGGTAAATGTAAATCCTGTTTTAGTAATATGAGTACAGATTAATGATTTCATATAGACAATGATTTGTTATAAATG